TTTATCACGATATCCCTTCAAAAAATAATTAATATTTTATTAATCACTGAAACATTTAAATAAAGTTTTTTAAGTGGCTAGAACATTTTTTTTTTCAGTTTGCACATTGTAGAAAAATATATGTTATCATATACCTCTGTGAATTATCAAGATTGAATTCAATATAGTTTCTGATACGTAGTCAAATAATGTGCCTATTTGCTCAGCTTGCTTGAGAGTTAAAATTTTAAATTCAACTAAATAACTTCCAACGACTTAATTTTCTAGCATTGAAAGATTATTTATAAATCTCATTTCTTGTATTTATCAAATACTTGATTAACGAAGGTAGAGAAAATTGCAATAAACTTTTTTTTTCTTTAATGAAAACATAGAATTTTTTTTCTTTAATTTGGAAATTTTCAGCAAATTAAAAAGCCTCCAATTATTGTCTTTTCAAAATTTTTGACTTTCTCCCCTCAATTTTTTTAAAATGTCACATGAAAATTTTGAACTTTATATTGGATTCACTGTGTTGTATTTTGATGAATCAATATTAAATTCAACATCAACAAATCTATTATTTGGTTGTATCAAATTGTGTAAAAAATATAGAAAAATTAGCTTTAATCAAAATTACGTTTTTGTTAATGGTTCCTAGAATATTTAAATACTATTTTGTACATTTTACCATCAAATTTAATGCAGTGTTATAATATTGTGCTTTGGGCAACACGTTTTGGATGATTTTTTTTAAAAAAAAATATTAATTTGTTAAGCAAAGTTTTAGACGATTATTAATTTAAGAAAAGTGGCAATGTAATTGAGTAACTTTTCATTTTGTGAAGGATTTTTTTAAAAATCCTTTTAAAAATTTGTAAAGCCAAAATTTGTCATTTTTTAGTGATTCAAGCACATTTCTTTATTATATAAAATCAAAATTTAAAAATTTTGTTATGATTCGTCTAAAAGGATGCAGACGATAATTGATTTTTGTAGAGTGGTAGTGTCATTAAGTTATGCATTCTTAATATGAATGATTATTTAAAAATCATTTCGTTCATTTGTGCCTAGCTTTTATATCATTGTTTTGTAATTAAAACAATTTTCGTTATTTTATTAAAAATAAAAAATTCATTACGTTTTATTCAGACCTATATTCGCTTCAAAAAATGGTTAATGGCATTGGATAACGCATTCTTCAATATGATATGATTCTTCAATTTTTTAAAAATCATTTCATTAATTTGTAAAATCAATTTAGCCAAGTCAAAAATTTTTTCATTATTTTATTTAAAATAAAAAATGTAAAAATTCGCAACGATGTAGGATTCGACTAAGGATTTATATTATTATTAATTTTTGAAAAGTCAAAACTCACATTATTTAAAATAAGTCATAAGATCAAATGAAAAATATTTTTACCAAATAGAAATTAAAAATACATGCAACGCAGAACGAACGATTTTCAATGTGGGTATACGTTTGTTTACTGATAAATTTTTTTAAATATTTTTTTGTCTTTAAAAATATTGACATATTTTCAGACCAGGCAATAAAAACTTCGATTTATAAATTGCGTCAGAATGACGTCATGCACCCATGCATTTTCTGCGTGTTACGTCATTCTGACGAATATTTTTTGTGCCAAGTCATAGAATAGACTTCAATTTTAAGAAATTTTTACAAAAATCGAATAGATTGAAACGAAAAATGTATCCGTCTAACACAGGAAAAGTAAATTATTACATAATACTATTTTTCAAATGGAGGGTTTCCCATTTAGGAAAGTTAGCATAAAAATTATTCCTTAATACAATTTTCTCACTGAGAAAAAATGGGGGAAACAGTTCTTGTTTTTTTTTTTCTGCAAGGAAAATAACAGGTACAGCGAAGGGACGTCTTTAAGGTGTCGCAAAAGCTCAATCGGTTATTCAATAGAAATAAATACGTAGTAGGTTAATTTTTTATACTTACGTCTATATAGTTAGCATTGATATAGTCTGACCCATCTACTCCTCTAATTGGCTGCAGGCACACTCGCGTGGATTCATCTGCATCAAGTATAAAAAAAAGGTCTATTTATCTAAACTATCATTAAAAAAATTCTATTATATTTTAAATTTTTGTAATCCAACAATGGACAAGATATTCGAGATAAATTTATGAATGAAAAATCATTGGCTCTTGTATGCAAGGATTTAACTATCAAAAACTTAAAATGGCTTTTTTTCAAATCGTTAGCCCGCTAACATCTATAATTTTTGCTCGCACAAATTTACCTGCATAATTAAAATTCCGTTTAGCACGATTAGATTTATAGTTTTCGTTATTGAGATGATGCTTGAAGAAAAACATTTAAAGACGCGATAGTTCTGGAAGGACGGCTCTTACAATTTCATACCACAAATGCTCAATAGGATTGTGAGGGCCAACAAAGTGAAATCTCCAGCATGTTCTTTACAATATAACAGGAAGCATAATGTAGCTGAAAATACCTTCGCCATTGGAGTAAGTGTATTAGAGGACGTTCTTGGTCAGCCCTTTTGTATCGCAGTCAGTTGCTGTTCGATCCTGACAGCTGACAAACAACCGGCGAGTATACGCAGCAAGGTGCACGCTAAACCTATCGTGGCTAGAAGTTCGCTCGTTGGTTGTGATGGGGAAATTCGGAAAGAATAGTACCAACTCTAGAGCTGTCCACTTCATCTGTCCTGGGTCATGGCATTCCTACCATGTCCGTTAAAAGATATAGCCCTAAAAATGAGGCTGGGTGCGTGGCTATGATTGGGTGATGATGATGGTCAGCACGTAAGTTTAAGTATGATGTCTAATTCAGATTGCCATGCACACGATATGAAGGTTCTAAAGGGTGCTTAACCTACACATAGCCTTCCAGCGGAATCTTAATGAGGCAATAAATCATTTGCATAAAACTGCCAGGTAGTGTTATAAGGCTGCTATTCAGTGCATGCACGCTGTTAAAGTTTGTTTCTAAATTCGATAAATCAAGTTATCTAGATGGCTAATTTTTCACAGAAATGACGATTGGATTGTCATTTGTTGAATTTTGACTAATCAATAACAGGAAAAATCAGTTTTCCTTGTGAGTTATTACACAGCAGTCTTAACTGAATAATTATTATATTAATAGATTACGTTATTTTGCCGACATTAAAATATAAGTTAAACATTTAGAAAGAGGTGATTAATGATACTTACATGGAAGTATATTCATTAGTCTGTTTTTAAATTTGTTAACTGGTAGATTGGCACTCACGAATTTTATAGATTTACCATTAATTATGCTGAGTTTC